AGTTGGAGTATTTCTCATCACTGAGCATGGAAAGAGGAGCCAGAGAGAGGGAGGAAGCAGCTGCATCTCCATGAACAGTGCTGGGCCAGGAGTCCCACATCTTTGGCTCCCTGCTCATGGACTGAGCTAGTCACAACCCCCCTGTGTTTTCAGGCAGTTATTTACATACTTGTAAATTGGTAAAAAGCCCAAAATTGATGTTTTGTAGTCATAGGATTCATACTGGAATGGAGCAATACCTTGTTTGATCTTGGATCATCTCTCAGCTAAGAGTCAGCCTCAGCTATCCTTGAGGATCAAAAGTCTAACTTTCTTTAACTCACCCATGAGTCCTGTGGTTAGTTAGACTGGCTGATATCCAAAAAATATGAGGATTCAAATCTCTGCCAACAAGTAAAAACTGTTTACAACTTCACGGATTAGAAAGATTCAGGCAGCCCAGTGTAAGGCTGGGGATGCTGAAGTCATTTGTAGTTAGTTAATTTTCTGTGAAGATGAATGGAAGGAGCCACAAAAAATTTGGGTAAGTAGCCATTTACGCACATTTTGAGACTAGTAGATACATGATCACTATCAGATTTCCATACTGTATTACATTAGTGCCAAAGACACTTCTCCTATTCAGTGCACTCTAAAGTGGCTGAACAAGAAGGAACTTGTGCACAAGACAGCACCAAGAAATATTTCACTGGCAGTAGAAAAATGTGCTGTACAGCTAGTCTAACCAAACATCTTCCCTCTCATAACTTTGAATGTGGCATGTCAACCTGCAGCCCTTCTGCAAAGCTCTCCTGAAACCCAGTGTGTGTTTGAGCCTCCCCATGTAAGCTGAGGTGACAGCTAAAGCCTGGGACAAGGGCATGCAGGAGCTGGTTTTGTTCTCTGGTCTGTCACTGCTGGTTGGGTGACTTCAGAAGAATTTTGTCTCTTGCTTATCCAGCAGCTGAAATAGTTCTCTTGAAATCCTTTTGTAAACTTCTCAGATTTAACCAATTGCAAAATTACATTGATTGATTGAGCACTTGAGTTCATGAGGACCTGGAAGCCAAAGCATTGTTATTTCCTGAAATGGCTCTTACTCAGTGGCACGAAAGCCCTAAGGCATTCCTATCTCCTCCTGTGTCTCTCTGGCTTTGACTGACCATTGCCTTTTCTCCTCTTTTTTTGTCTCTTTTTGTTTTCTATTTTAAAGCGTCACTTAGCTCCTGAAGTTTTCCAAGAAATATTTGGCATGACGATACAGGAGTTTGACAAGTTACCTCTCTGGAGACGCAACGACATGAAGAAAAAAGCAAAACTCTTTTAATCTCCCCTTAAACAAACCGACAGAACGATGATGCAGAGGATATTGTATCATACAGTCCACACTATTTGGAAGCAACTACTTACCCACCAAAAAAGGGAAAATCACATAGCAGCACCTCTGTGCACAGCAATTGAACAAGATGAACATTTGCCCTCCTGGAACACAGGGCTCAGAAACAACAATGACAGTTTGAGGTGTCGACCTGTTACATGGTATTATCCAAGATAGGAAACTGTTTTGTTCTTCTCCCTCAATGATATTCCCTTTACTTTTCTCCACAATACGATGGACTTTATCGCTAGAGCCAGGAAGTGCCCTTAGGATGCCTTGTAGACTAAAGTAGTTGTAACCACTCCAAGAACTGGAAAAGAATATATAT